GAAAATCTGTGCACTAGTTTTTCCTTGTGTTTTGTCTTTTATAATTTCTCTTCTATCTCTTTCTTCATGTTCTTCCTGAGACATAACTAACAGTTCCTTTTTTATCCACTTCAAGATTTCAGTCTTCTGCTTTTAAATTTTTAGTATGACTATAACTGCTTTTAAAAGGCTGAAACTTACTTCTTACGTGAATTTCAACTTCCCCAGCAGTATCATTTGGTAAAATATCATTATCATTATTTAAAACATTGCCATTCCTTTCTTCTTCGTCACCAGCCTCTGCAATTTCTGGGGGAACAACAACAATATCAGTTTCATTCTGGTCATTATTAACATTATCATCATCTGTTTCTTCACCAAAAAATCTTTGAAGGGCTTCTTCTAATGTAAGATACCTCGTTCTACGCATTTTTAAACAACCAGAACATGAACCAGAACATCAAGAGGAATGAGTGAAAAAGAAGATTGACTACCCATTTCCCACTGACGTTGCGTCAACGCAACACTTGTTTTCCCTTCCTTCCTAACACAAATATAAACATCTGACTGATGTAATGTTCTGATAAACGGTGACCTTGACTAAAAATAGATCACTCATAAAGACGGAAATTCTTTCGTTAAATATTTTCAGCAAAATTACCCGGTCGAAAATTTTGCTTAAAGTATGAGATTAATTATTACAAACAAAATGATTGTTGAAAGCAAATAATCTTCATAATATTCCCTACACAAAATCATCTGCTGGTATAAAATATCTTAGGTAGTTATATTTATATACGCATTTATTTTGACCGTTGCGTCAATGCAACACCAGCGGCTAATGGGTTAACAGCTTTTCATTAGAAAAAAATGAAATAATTTCAAAATGCCTTTGTTTAACCTTTTTACTCAGAACTCTATCCCACCATTTATATTAGAAATAGGAACAAATTATAACTCATGAACACATTTGCCCATTCAAAAGATAACCATATTTGTCAGCAAATCGCCAAAAATATTCCTCAAAAATGCCAATTCACTCTGACAGTTGTAAAAACAACTTAAGGACTTTTAAGGACCCTGTAAATAGCAGGTAGATTTTATGATATGCAGCATAGGTTAAAATGGGAGATAAAAATCATAATCAGCATGATTAGTAACACAGGTTTGGCTGTTGCTTGCCTACAGAGAGATCTGCTGATCAGAACACACCTGAGAGCCTGATGTAGGGACAGTTAGCAAGTTGTGAATGTTAGTTGTGCTCTGTCTGATGCAGTTAGTGTCAGTTAGAATTCCTGGGGTTCCAATTAGCCACTAGACCACCAGAGGTGATAAGTTCTTTTGTATTATTCTAAGACTCACTAGATTCAAAGAATAAGTTTTATATTAATTTTTACATTTTTGTGCTGTATCTTGTAACCAAGGCAAGGGTTAATGATAGGCAATAATTCGCTTTAATCTGCAGATATAACTTTTAAAGGTAAGTAGTTAGTTACAAATAATTAAATTATTTATTTAAATACTCTTTAGTCATTATAGATTTACATGGCCACTATAGAATTTTATTTAGTTTTTTAAAAATATTTCTTAAAAAAAGCACTATTAAAATCCCAATTTAATTACATTTCACAGTTTAAAATACGGATAATTACAAATTAAAAGCTACAAAACATTTTTGTTTTGTAGCAACAACACACAACAAAATATTTATTCCTCTTTTTAATTTGAAGCCTTTCTAGACATTTTGCCTAATTTATATCAATTTCCTTCTCTTTAAGTATCTTTTCTAATAATTAGAAATTTGTTTCAACATGAAAAACAATGTTCCCACTAGTTTCTGCGTCTATATCTCTTAATATCTGTCAATTTCGACAACGTACCTATGAGGTTTTATTTGATCTGGTAAAAGCTAAATAGTTCAAAACAAACGCTTCTATTCATTTTCGTGCTTCACTGCAATGCTCGCTTAGTCACACTTTTAAAAGCTTTGGCGGTGCAGTGTTTCAACTCATGAAATACCCACAGAATTAAAACAGTAAGTGCAATTTTTACAAAATTTTACCTGTATACTCCTTTAGGACTAAATAGACTGAATACAACTTTTTTTTGTTGAAATTCAGACGTTAACGTATAGTGCGCCGCAAAGGGTTAAAAAAAACTTATCTAACTGATTTGCATTCTGGTGAAGAAACAGATAGGGGAAGTTACAGTAAAGGCTGAAATTATATACAACTCATTAATTTATATAATAATAACAGTACATATCTTTCAATAATCATTTTTTTATGATCATGTATTCAGTTTCTTTCTTCAATGCGTTTCCTCTTTATTTTAGAATTTTTGGATTTACATAAAGATTTCTATCATTCTAAAAAACTAAATTCATTTAAAACACATAGAAAAAAGCTGCTAATTTTGTTCCTTTAGTAATATGAATATTCAGAATAAATATGAAATGATATATGTTAAGAGACGGTTACAGAGCTGGTGCGGCAGCATTTAGTGATACACAGAGCAAAAAAATCTAGAAATGGAAAAATTTTGTTTAGAATTTAGGACAGGCAGTGGAAGCAGAATTTAGGAAGGCACTACGCAGCAGAATTTACAATCCACAGAGATTGCATCAGGTGGGAGCGCCAGACCTATATATGATGCATTGAAACATACAAGATGAATCTTTTATAGTGTCAGTTTACAATTCCTTTACTAATAAAGAAATTCCTTCGTATAAATGCCTGTTCACATGATAAGATTAGAAGCATTTTTGATATTTTGCATGCTTGCGTCTTGCGAAAAGTAGGGAAAATAAAGGGAAGAAATATATTAAGAAAAAGACTTAATGAGAAATAATGAAATAAAACATTCAAATATTATGTTTTCATTATTCTTCCGAAAATTCTCTTGAAAGTAAGAAATTACTCACAAACTTTCTGTAAAATATATGCATTATGTGTTAATACCATGAAGACATTTTTCATTTGTCACATTTTTCTTGAAACTTCTAGAATTGTGGGTCAATAAATCTTGCCTTCAAATCTTTCTAAACTTTCCAAGCTGCAATGTCTAAATTCCTAAAGAAAAATTACCCCTGCAAATTCTATAACAACAAAAAGCCAGAAATATTTTGAAGAAAAAAGTGTACAATTAATTTTATAGAGAAAACTGATGCATATTTGGAGATTTCTAAATATTCTGAGGCAATTACATGGGAAAAACTCTTACCATGAAAAAATTAAAAAGAAGACATTTTTAATTAATTACATAGATATTTTGCTTTTGCTAGGGACTGTTTCATAAACCGTGCTTTATAGCCTTTATTGTTTTATAGATTCAAACTTTTGTATAATAACTTTTGTATAAAACGGAAAGTAATGCCACTTTATAATATGACAGCGAAAAATATAAATGTTTCACTTTGATGTTGTTTCTTAAATATAATTTCAATACATTACCATAATTTTAATGAAGTTTATCAATGTTATAATGTTTAAAAAATATCGATGAAAAATTCCCAGATTTCTGAATAAAAAATTTTCCACAGAAACTGATCTCAAAATCGCCAAATTGTTGATAAGTTCCCATATTTTAAAACCATTTAATAAAAGACTTCCCATTTCCAAAAGCGAAAAGCTGTTTAAGAGCTCTTAATTAGAGAAAATGAAATAATTTCAAAATGTTTATGTTTCACTTCTTGCCCCAAAACTCAAATATCCCACCGTTTATACAGCGCGATTCTTTTAGAACTGATCTAGTTTCATTGGACTGTAGTTATGTTAAAAAGTATCCGATTTTAATGGGGCTTGCGACAAGATTCAGCAAGGAGGAAAATTTAGTGGTCCATCCCCTTTTTTGATGTGCAATGTTGAAAAAAGAAATAACAAATAACAAAAACTGCAAAATGCTATACAAGGAAGAATGGCTTGTGCCTGTAAAATGTTAAAAACTCTGATTGCTATGTGGCATACCAAACGTGACTAATGAAAGTTTGTAAAAGTTATAAAAGTGTATAATCACTTAGCCTACAGTAGGTGTTGAATATGACCACCCTTTTGGCCTAGGCATAACCGAACTTGCTGCAATACTCGGCAATGTGTCAGCAGTGATGTTTCCAATTTCTCTAGAAATGATGGCCTTAAATTTATCCAGTGTCCGTGGTTTATCGCAATAGACATGAACCTTCAGAAAACCCCTTAAGAAATATAAGGATGATAGATCTGGTGACAGCAGAGGAAATAAGCCTTTGGAAATAATGCAGTCCCCAAAGAAACTTCTGATCAAATCCATACTTTGTTTTGACATGTAGCATGTTGGTAAAACGTCAAACTGACTTCAACAGTATGCAGTCCCTCTTGTATGGAATTTTGTGGAATGCCACAGTTTTCTTTATGTCTTATGTTTTCTCTTTTTTGGTGTTGCACATAAAAAGCGGACAGACTACTAAATTTTCCACCTTCCTGAATCTTTTACCGCAGACTGCATTAGAATTGGATACTTTTTAACAAAACTACAGCCCAATGAAATAGGTCAGTTCTAAAAGAATCACCCTATATTAGAAATAGGAACAAATTATAACCCATGAACTCATTCAAAAAATAACCAAATTTGTGAGTGAATTGCCAAATACTTCTCCAAAATGCTAATTCACACTCAAAATGGCAGTCATAAAAACAGAAATTTTAGATAAATAATTAAGGACCTTCCACCGATTTTGGCCAAAAGTAAGGACTTTCAAGGGCCAAAATTGAGTCCAAAAAACCTACAGACTTTTAAGAACCATATGAACCCTGTCTACACCCAGCTTATTCAGCTGGGGATTCGACCCAGGGATTTAATAATATTTGGCAATCTTAAGCATTCTCCCACTGGTGGGGCACATACTGTTTTACTTAATAATAAACTAGAAAAACTAACATACGTTGAAAAAAAAAATGAGAAGAAAAATTCTAATGGAAGCAATGGCAATTTAAGCACTCAAATTAGGAAACATTCAACAAAATCTTGATGGAAAAATTGTAACTAACTTCATAAAATCAGGAACTCTCTGCAAAACATGTGAAAATTCAGTAAATGCTATATTTCCATCTTCATCAATATCTCCATCCTTCAACACCTAAAAACAAACATAGTAGTTATTTAGTGTGCAAAAAAATTATACTTTCGATACAGTTTAATTTATATTATATACAGTAAAGCACTATTTGTACATTTCTCCTTTACACATCAACGCATCTCTGTCTTGATCCTTTCCTATTCATATAACTGATAAAATATTTCATTTATTCAACTCTTAACAATGATTATACATAGTTTATCTGAATCACAGATAAACATTTCTTTTCTCAGGACAGTTCTCTGGAGTAGTTTCTTTTCTTGGTAGTGTCTGGATGTGAACACAGGGATACAAGGTCAGGGAATAAAGTTGTAGAATATCTCAGACTAGTACGGGAGTGTAATTAAACATGGTGGATGAAAAGGTGATCACTAGGAGAATAAAACAGACAACGAAATATGCTGAACAATTAGGTTTGCTTATGGCTTATTTTGTATCATTTGGTATACAAGTTTTCACTCAAATTTTAACTCCCTTTGCATTCTTTTTTAAAGCTAACTTGCCACTAAAATATCTAGAAAATGAGCAGCATTTTCATCAAGACAAAATCTTAAATTTCTGGAGAATTTGAGAGGAATACAGAATTAGCAAAAGCTAAAAAATGGGTATTCTCAAAACAAGCTGAAAACGATTAATTTAAAAATTATTTTTGAGAATGACAGGGGGAGAGAAAAAGAGGAAAGGGTAGCTTGAGTAAATTCTAATTAAGTGATGGTGTTTATCTAAGGTGCAAAATTCTCCAAAGTTGAGGATATTGTATTGAAATTCTTCACGCAATATCGAGCATCAAATTTTCCAGTACATGGGATTATGTTAATGCAGAAAGCCCCCCCCCCAAAAAAAATGCTGCAAATGAATGTGAGACATGCTTCTTTTTTAACTGGATCAGTGGTCATATTTCAATTCCATACTGAATCTTTTGCCATGTCATACACTGAGAATTCACAGATGTCCCAGCTGAATCTATAAAAGATTAGATTACGAATTTATTTTACAAAATGAAAGCCTCATCAACTGAAATATATTTATTATGTTGATAATCTGGTCTCTTCATTCACTTCCTGCCTGTAAGCATCTTAGCCTTTAAAGCAGATCAATGTAAAAGTATCCAAAAAGGAAGAGATCACTTCAACATTTTGCTTTGTGCAAAGACTCAGAAATGGAAAAGATAATACAGCAGAATATCAAAAATCTGCACAACTCGCCACTTGAAGTGCAGAGTTTTGTGTATTTCAGGTCACAAAATACAAAATTTTATACTTAGATTAAAAAAAGGAAAATTAAATAAAGATAACTTCAAGAAAAATTACAAGCAATTTCTTTTCACATTTTAAATAGAGGCTGATTTGGTTTGGTTTATGTGATTATGGCAAAGCCTTGAGGGCTATCTGTGTAAGGGGAGGGAGGCCTTCATGGAAGACTTTCTAAGGGAAACTGGCTCGTAAATACATTAACACATGGGAAAAACCACAAAAACGGCCAGCCCATTAGTAGGATTTGAACATCAGACCAAACTACCAGTGCTCAGCCACTGGTGGGCCCATTTTTAATAGAGAAATATGTATTAAACATAACTTAATTTATGTAAAAAGAAAACAAGAATAAAAGAGGATATAAAAAACTATTTTTTTACATTTTCTTAACACCTGCTTACAGCACTGATTTAAAACTTAAGGATGTTCTAGTCTCCTTCCCTTCCAAATATATGGAATCACTTCCTTTTGATCAGTTACATGACTTTTTTGGGGGGACTAAAAATTTGATTTTTCAATAATATTCACAAAAGATAATTTAGAACTTCCTTACTCTAATATAATGGAAAAGTACTATTTTTAGTTCTTATCATAACAGAAGTTAAAAATTCCAGTACTTCCTAACATAACAAGGCAGTACTAATCATCACCCAACATATAGGTTGGCACAATATGTCTCCTGAAAAATACATTACCTAATGCATTCAACACTCAATACTGCATGAAAATATAATCTTGGTAACTTAAATAAAATCCTTCACCATGGATAATTCTTTTCCATGAAGAAATTTAACGACAAACACTTCATCATTTGGCAACTGCTGAATTGTAAAACACATATTGGTCTTTTTAATGAAACCTAGCACTGAAAACATACTGAGCCAAAACGTCACTGGTACTTTTGCACACATTTTGGCTGCTGCCCTGTTCTTGAAGCCTACAAAAATTTTCAATATATGTAATCCTCTCTGTTAAAACAGCACAGGGTTAATCAGCTTATCTTTAATTATAGTTTCGAGTTTAGGAAATTCTAGCAAAATATTTTTTGGTGACAGTTATAAAAGCAATTATTAAAAGAATATGGTAGTTTACTTCGAAACTGAATAAGGAAACTTATTCCAAATAATGCTGAATACTTCACCAAAAAAACCTGTCCATTATATCGTTGACATCTTACAGACTGCGTGGATTTTAAGTCGACAGACCTAATGTTTTTCTACTCTACTTCACATTGCAGAAAATCTCAGAAACATGCATACTTCAAATGCGCAAAAACCTTGCCCTTGCCCAAATAATAAAAATTAATGAATGGCTGTGTACATTTTTAAAGAATAGTGTGCGCGTGCACACACACACACACAAGGAAAGGACAAAGAATGTAAAGACTAAAAATCAAATCACCTAAAAATCAAAGTACTGCCTACCAACAGCTGATGATCTGAAAAGAACTTTTTATTTTAAAAAGAACTGTATGAATCCACTGCAACCTTTAGACCAAGGCATAATCCAGATTTAAAAAAGATTCGACAGGAAGAGATTAATTTAAATCACCCTTCAGAATTGTAGAATATACCCACAGAAAGATTAACATACTTGAGGCTATGAATATGATCTCTCAGGCTTTGACTGAAGTTAAATTTTTTCATCAAAGGAGGTTTTTCAGAGCCAATGGATTTCGATTCTATAATCTTCAAACCATTGGCCATGCATGAAAGATGATAAATAAAGATTTAAGTGCAGTCTTAGCCATTTTATAAGCTGGTCTTTATGTATTTGCAGTCATGGCCAGTTAAATACCTCTTTATTCTTGACACACATAGCTAAATTGGTGCAATCGGTGTGTCCACTCCTGAACAACTATTTTTACTTTTTGCATTTTTATAATATATTTGCTGTAAGAAAGATAAGCTACAGATTACATTTTTGCAGGAAAGTAAGTGAAAGAAGAAATGCCTACATTTTAATATGGATGCTAGGCTAAGAATAATAAAGTTATGATTTTACATTATTTTTAAAGGTTATTTTAGGTTTCTGGCTTGCAATATTATTATTGCATTATATTATTATATTATTATTATTATTGTTGCAAAATTATTTGGGCTATTGGTTGAAAGATTCTGGACCATGAACAAATTACCTGAAACAAATGACCCTTGGATGATAAATGTTATCGTGAATTACAAACAATGAATTATTTTCAAAGGTGTTTAGAGGGAACTTATGCTACAAAAGTAACACTTAGGGACTTCCTGAAATATAATTTAATGCTTAACTCTCATTAGCAAAACCTGGCTACAAGTGACTTACAACACAATGAATTCAGCCTGGCAAAAATTATGGCCAGATTGTATCACATGAACAAAATTTGGGGGATTTGACATTATGACTGTTTTTTTATTTTAATGATATTTTGCCTCTAGGCCTTGGGCTTAAAAGTTAACAATGAACACTTGAAAGAGTTATTAGAGAACAGAAAAAGTGAATTTAACATGAAAGAACTGGAAATACTCAGAACCAGCAGAAAGAGGCAGCTGAGGAAATGTATTCAGAGGCAAAGGAACAAAAGAAATTGATGACTTATTTGTCCTATGAAATTTGTATAAAATCAGATAAAGTACAAAGTTTCATATAACGATATCACCTTGATAAAGAAGTAGCAAGCGACAGAAAAGCATTTATGATATGACAACATCATGTCATACCTATTTTAAAGCTAAACTTAAAAACATAAACAAAAGCTAAATATAAAAAAAATAATAATAATAAATATGAAAGGGTTCAGATTTTAACAGTCACCCAAAAGGGTTCTTTTAAAGTTTAATATGGTTTATCAGTAGATATGATTGATAAACATGGCCCAGTGGAACAGCAAAACATTTTACAGGATATTAGGTGAATATGCATTTCGACTAAGGAAGGACTATAATGTAGCTTCTGTGTATTTAAAAAGTGAAAAAAAAATCAATGTAGTTTTATAAAAATATATAATGCTTTTAATTAGACATACCATTAGTTAAATACATTTTTATTTAAGTCAATCAGATTGAAAAAGCAGAAAAAAATTAGAACTGCATCTATTGCTTTTAAATAGTTTAGCTTGTTAATTAGTAACACACAGATTAAATACGAAAGAATAATACCTAATATTTGGCAACAGACTCAACAGTTCATTTCTTTGAAGAATACAGCATCTCAATAACTTTTTCATGAATAAACCTTAAGACTTAAAAAAAAAAAAAAAAAAAAAAAAAAAAATTCCAGCTGCTGAAGAGATGGAAAAGTACCATAGAAAAAAATGGTGCTCATGCGATTCCATGAAACTTTTTATGTTTTTGTACTACTTCATTTGTATTTATCATAAAAAACTGCAGAACTTTTTGGTTCACTTTGATTGATTATGGTAGAGCACACTACGGCTATCTGCCTAAGGGAAGGGATACTTTCTAAAGGAAAATGGCCCATACATGCTACACATGGAGAAAACCCTGAAAATGTTCAGGTAGCCATCCCATTCGCCTGGAATCAAACCCATATCAGAATTACCAGAGCTTAGCGATTTTACCATTTGGCTGCTGTTGGGCTCACAGAACGTTTTGGATGATCCACTAGCTTTTCCGAGTTAATAACTTGTGCAGCATAACCAAATGATTGATAACCAAATGAATTTGTAAAAGAGGAATCAAACAGTTTAGTCAGGGCTGTATTTTAAAGGATCAAACATCTCTTTGAGACAATATCTTCATGTCAGTGACAACAAAAATATACCCATGGTCAACCTGGTTATGACAGACTATAAAACTAGGCCACCGATAGATGAACTTTATGAGAACTTTGAAAAAATCCGATAAAGAAGAGCATATCAGTGTTGATGAGCTTATTCAATCCCATTCAAGGGTAAAAGTACACTAAAGCAGTATATTAAAAACAAGCCACACAAGTGGGACATAAAATTGTTTTCACTCTGTGTCTTCTTACCACATAGCTTTTCAAGTCCGTAATTTATTAATGCCAAGAATGGTATGTGAAAATCGAGTTCAGAAAAAAATTTAAAAAGAAAGGCCTATTTACCAAAATTGGAAATAATTTAAAAGCATTTGGATGTGGAAATTATAATTTTGTTTCTGAATATTACTCTGTTAAAATAGCCTGATAATAAATGTGTGACTGAGATTTCTGCATTTGGTGGAGTAGAACCTCTGAAAGACTTGTGAAGGAGGTCTGTTTCATCAAAAAAAAATTTATAGATGACAACAACCTCCCCCTCCAACATATTATAGATGTTTATAGCAAAGGAATGGAGATGCATGGACTTCACATTTGTAGAACTTTACCGTGTTGATATACGGAGGGAAAAGGTACCGCTTAAGAAAAATTTCCATTTGTTAGATATATGTAGATGAATGCATGGCTTTTTATTAAAGATATTTGCAGCAGTTATCAGGTTTAAAGGCAAAGTATATGCCATTGCACGACTTTAAATTATCCATTGCAAAAGAGTATGTGATAATAACAGTGCGACTTACTATTATTACATTTTAAGATTTACATTATTGACTGAGACTTCAGAAATATAAATCACTTTTACAAGAATTTACCTAACAACGCAAACAGAAACCAGTAATGAACACAATCACAGATTAATTCACTAAAATCTTCACAATTAATTTAAGTTTCACCATATATAAAGAATAATGTTGCTTAAGAAGAATATTAGTAACATAACAATAATTAATTCTGCGCATCGATGCAGTGAACTCATGCTTTTAAAAGCAATATATATTTTTTTAAATTATAGCACTGGTTCTGAAAAGATTACGGTTTTTAATATTCCTCTCTTATGAATGTTTAATTTTTAAACAGTTTTTAAGTCCATAAATTTGAGAGTCTACTGTATATAGAAGTATTTAAAAACATATATTTACAGTTTTGAGCACTTCTTGAATATCACGCTCTGGTACGTCATATGACTCTGTTCCTAGAAGACGTGTTAGGAGTTCTTCAAGATCATCCTTAGAAATTAAATCATCACCATCAAAATCTGTGGAAAAACATTACAATAAACTAAAATGGGAAAAAAAATGAAAGGGAAAAAAAACTAAAACATGTTATGCTACAAAGTAAATGAAGATGAGTGTAAAAATTGCATTCGTTAATTTCAACAAGGATGTCAATTATTTTATCAACAAAAATTACTAAAATTCACAACTATACAGTAAAAATTTAAGAACAAACCTTTAAAGAATTAATGACACCTTCAAAAGAATGAATGAAAAAATATTTTCGGAATAGCATTCGAAAAATTATTTAATTTTGATATTTCTCATTAAATACAAAATATAAACAATAACGTGTAATCAATGCACATCAAATACTTATTAAGAGTAAAAAAATATGAATAAAATAAATCTCAAACTATAAAGAAACATAAAAACTTCACACACCAAAAAATAGTCACAAATAAAAATTGAATAATATGCTAAAATTGAGAAATTTTAATGAACGAAAAAAAATTTAACAGAAGAAAAATTAAATACATTGTTAAGGAATTTAAAATAATAGGCACTTGTAGACTTGAGCTTTCTCTTTGAATGAAAGTTTAGATTTCTTTAATAAAAACGACACCTGTATATTAAACCAGTGATTCTCATTTGTAAAAATCTAAGATATCACCTTCTCCCAAGATAAAATTTTCCCAATCAACAAGGTATAAAAATTTATGCATTATTAAGATTATTTTTAATCCAGATGGTTAATGCATTTTTAGTAAAAATATCCCCAAAGTGACAAAATTACTTCAAAAATGCTAATTTAACTGTCTTTTATTAAGAATCAGTATGATCAGTTAAGGGGCGTTTGCTTTGAAATGTTTGTAGAAAAGTTTTTTTGGGGGGAAGGGGTGGGGAGCTTTCAGCAAACTGTAAATATTATTCCAATACATATTTTGCTAATCAACGTTTTTAATCCTAATTTTGGAGTTGAAAGAATAGGAATTCTCAATTCAGATAGACAAGTGTGTGCACACGCCATTTCCTACAATTTTGTGTTGTCTCACATTCAGGTAAAATTTTCAAGAAGTCTGGTTCCAAATTTAGCCTACTGTGGGTTATACTCTTTAGATGGGCAATTGTATAAAAATATTCTCACACAGATATAGTATTTAAAAAGGCAATATAAACTTGATGGTATGATCAGTGATTAGTGGAACATCAATCAATCTCAGCAACTCAAAATTAAATACAATGCTGAGACTGATGGATATATTACAAGACAACTAAATGTTCTCCCCATTTTCCTTTTTTGACAAGAAGCCTGGTAGCCTGCAATTTGAAAAGAGTTGCATTTAAAAGTTTGCATTTTTAAGCTCTCAGAGAAATAAATATTCCTGACCATGATGGTCTTAACCAGAGAAGGTTCCAAAAACACTTGTCTTCATAACACATACAAATAATGTCTTCATAACACATACATTTATATTTGATTTTAATTTTTGTCTTTAATTAGCCATCTACCATATTAATGAAAACAAGATATAAAATTCTTACTTTGTTTTTGCAAATGTTTTTATTTTTGCAAAGGAAAAAAAATGTAAACTTGAAGCTACTTTCAACTAGAGTGATTAATGGAAATCCAATATTTATAAATAAAAGCATAAAATACTCCTTGTACCTGAAGCAACTTCACAGCAGTAATACGGATAATTCAAATGAAAATAGCAGAGAATGATAAAGATTACATTTGTCAATTTGAAGAAAAATTTATCTTCTTTTCTATTAGAGAAAGGAATAATTTTTATTATATTTTCTTGATAGTTGCTTCCATACCTTATAGATATCTCTCATGTGTCCCTGGCAGTATACGCACTGCAGTTTGAGAACCACTGCATGAATCTATATTGCACACAGTGGTTGCCAATTACTCACTAATAAATTTCTGAGCCCTAGTTTCAGTCTTTTAATCACATGATCAAAATTATTTTATTAGCTTCATAATTGTTTTTATGAGTACTCAGAACTTGCAAAATTAATTGAAAACTATTTTCTTGTTTAGAATCATAGATTACTGAAGAACGGTTGAGAATCTTCAGATTTACTCATGAAAATATTACAGAAATACAACATTGTTCAAAGGAGGACAGATTACTTTAGAATAAACATATGATTTATTTAATGCTGATATAAAAGATTAACACTGGTCAAACTTTGCCAAGAAGGAGGAAACAACTACAGTCAATGCCCAATTAACTGGGGTAATATTAGAGATCAAATCCATGAATACAAAATCACAGTGAATGTGAGGGCAGTTAAAAAGCACATGAAGGAGTAATAACCTACATTACAATTGATAGAAAAAATACCATTAAAAGTTTTCTTGCATTCTGAAGCTACATCATTTGGAGAATAAGTTGATTTGGTAATCAAGTATTAAAAACAAGAAAAATGCATTGTAAATAACAAGGAAGCTAAGTCATAAAAGGCATTACAAAACAATATTTGTGGCAGACCTTGAACAATGTCACTGAATTCAAACTTGTATAAAATGTCAGAACTCCCGATTAAATAGCATGAAACTGTACACTGTTGTGCATAAAAAATACTTCCCAATCATCATTTGCTATCACTGGTGTTTCCCAATCATCATTTGCTATCACTGGTGTTTCTTGTTTCTTGTTTCCCCAAGCACTTTTCTTTTCCCTTTTGTATATTTCAACAGAGACAATTTTTTCAACAGAGACAATTTTGCTTTAAACTAACAATCTATGATAATAATTTTCAACCCTTCCTTAATTTTTTTTTTTTTTTTTTTTTTTTACAACTCAGCTATTCCATCCCTCAATCAGTGATATACTGTACTTCTAAAGCTATTTTAAGGGTCCTAAATTAGGTATTTATTAGTTACAATAGAACACTTGTGGGCTTGTGCTTAAACTATTTATGTTCTTTGTCTTCTTCAACGAAAAAATTCATCTGAAAGGTCTTAGTATGAGGATTTTAGAGCTAAAATATTCATTTAAATTATATCATCATTAATACAAAAGCAAAATACATATTCATCTTGATAATTTTAATCCAGCAGTTTCATGGCAAAATCTGGACCACTTTTGGGAAAAGAAAAGATTTAACTAGTGAATCGCATTAATGTGCATATTTGCCATAACAAAAAGACTATTGATAACTTTTGGACTCTGGATACATCAAAATTTCAAATTGAAGTTACACTTTATGTAAATAAACTGGAATCACATAAATGAAATAAATTAAAATTAATAATCTAAAAGTTCATTATTTAAGGAAAAATATTCATAATTATGCTGCCTTTATGTACTATGCAATAAAAAAAAATATATTTAAAAAATATCCTGAGCTGCCAAAATCAAAAGGTCTAAGAATAAAATCTATAATAAAAGTTACATACTTCATGATTTTAATTCATAGATCAGAGTAAAAGCACTTTAATCTATTATATACTATAATAAGGGAGATGATTATAACATTTAAACTACAAAAGCTATTTTGAAACAGAAAGAAATACCATATATTTTAAATGCATATTCAGCTTTCAGACTCATGGGGGCTCTCTCACTAAACACAGATAACATATCAAGATAATCTTCAAATGTCAGGTACCCTTCCACAGATGTTGCAAATACTTTGATCATTCGATCTTTGAAAGGATTGTACTAGGTAAAGGTAATAAACAAATAAATCTTGTGTAACTTTAAAATATCTGAACAATCAAATAAGAAGAGAAACATGCAAATATAAAACTTAATAACCTTATTTTGGCATACCTACATCAAAATATGATTGCTGTTTTACCTAATTTTAATTAATTTACGTACCTGTTACCTAAGTACCTGAACAATATTATAATTTGAATTAACTAATAAAATGACAAAGTTTTAATGAGTATTTATGATTTTAAAAACCTATCAATAACATTTAGATAGCATTATTATCCTCAGCAAATTTTCAAATGAAAATGTAGTATTGGCTATATACAGAATTTTTTTAGTCACAAACATAAATTAGAAAAAAACACACACACACAATACTTATCATATAGAAACTAAATCATATAGAATTTCAGGCTAGAAATGAGATGCACCCTTTCAAACATGGAAATTATATATATGCTTATTCTATTTTACTGACTTTATTAGTAACATCTAGACTTAGTATGTAAAACAGTACACATTCACACAGACATTGCAGTTTTATCAGTTCATGTCATAATGAATTTTGAATGTTTGAAGTAGCATATATTAATAGCCGATAGCTTAATTTCAGATGAAAGATCCAAATGATTATACAGTAAGAGGAAAAGTCCTGCCCAAAATTTAAAAAAAATAATAATAATTTTTTTTTTTAATGTGCAAAGCCTTTCATAATTATATGGTGTTTTGGAAATGGTAACTATGGTAACTTTTTTTTTTTTTTTTTTTTTTTTAATGAATAGTTTTACATTAGTAAATATCAGTATGCGACCCATCAAGAGCTTGGAGAAATTCAAATTGGTATTCCAGTTCTCACCACATATTATCTAATATCTGCTGTGTAACATTTGGCACAGCATGCATTATTCTGGCCTTCAAACTAGCAATATCACAAACTGGTGTAACAAAGACTTGGTCATTGAAAAGTCCTCTGTCCACCGATCTGGCACTTCTCCAAAGGTCACCAATTTCTAATGCTATTAACATCTGGATGATTACACCTGTATGAATTTCTAAACCACTGCTGATAGGGAATTTAGTTCCATGATATAATAAAATATGCTTAACTTTTTTTGTAACTGAAACACTTTCCTTACTAACTATTCCTTGGCATCATGACACTAAAATAATTAAAAACTTAGAACAATAGGACTATGCAATGATAAAAATTACATATTTCTATCTTCTCGAGTTATTTCATACAAATATTTTTCTTTTAATTGAGAAAAGAATTTTTGCTTAGCCTGTATGTGATATCTTAATGTTCACATTATTTTAATAATAAATTTTAAATATGTATATATTTTTTAGTAACATTCCTAAAAATAATTAAAAACTTACATTTGCAAACTACTTACATTACATATTTAAGACTAAAAACATAACGAGAAATTTAATTACTTAAAAAAAGAAAATAATTGAATTCACTGAGAATGAATAAAAATTTATTAATAAAACACTGTATAAAAATAAATATGCTTCTGTGTCACATTACCTGTTTGCTATTAATACCTTCAGATACATTAAAATGGTTCTAAGAGATTAAAAGTTTAATCTGAAAAGTATTACTTAATTTGTATAATGACTACACAACAGCTACTAAACAAAAATTGCACTAAATAAAACTTAAAAACTCAATTCTTTTAATGTAACTGTTTAAAAATAATGTCTAATCACATGAAATTCTGGCAGTTCTCCAACTCTTTCCAAGGGATAGCAAGGATTTTTGGGCCCAAGACTGTACAATGGTTCATAACTGCAAAAACGATAATAAGCTCTAAAAAATAAAATGAGAGAAAAAGCATGAGAAATAATAAGAGAAGTTATAAAAATGTAAACTGAAAACGAACTAAAATGAAACAGATTGCTATATTCTATATCGCAAATTAACCAACCTATGAAATTAAATAATAATAAAAACACTGCATAAAACTAAAAATTTAAACATAGTACATTACAAATGAAAGATAAGCATGCAAATTCTTAAATATTATAATACAAATAATAATGCTCTACAACCTCTATTCACATTACCCATGAGGAAAAGCATGAGCCATCATTCAATTTTAATGAACTGAAGATCAGTGAACAAAGGTACATAATTCACAGTTTTAAGGACAGTTTTGCCAATAACATCTCTAAAATCCTGTTGAGAAGAAGTGAAAGCTCACACATTTAACATTAAGTAAATTCAGATATTAAATTTAGCTGTTAAAAAAAAAAAGGAAAGTAAAAATTATAAAGCTTATCTCTTATGAAATATTTAATAAGGAAAAGCATGCAAAAACTATCTGCTTCTAAGCAAGGAAGACTTTCTAAGTAAAACTACCTCATGTTCAGGTAACACATGCGGAATTGTTGGCTAGGATTCAACCTAATGAGATCATTTGTGTAAAAGTGTTTTTACTCTTAAGTTTTTTAATTTACTTCACTTGAGAGCAGACCAAATCAGAAGCATGCATGACTGCATAAATTTGACAGTTCAAGTTTTAAAAAAAAAATTCAGGTGAAGCAGAGGATGTTAATCTGCCAAGGTATCTTTTTTTTTTTATTATTTTTTTACCCAGCAGCTAAAAAAAATTCTTCAAGAAAACAGAAGTATTCATAAATTTTTCCGGCAGGAAACAAAAAAATCAGGCATTATTTTAAATTGCAATATAAACAGCAAAGTGAAATGAAACAGTTGCCACTAAACTTCAAGGTCAGTTCTTTTCTCTTGTAGCTTTTCTTACAATCACGGTAACATCTGCCATTAACGATATTCAAGTCCCTTAATTGTTTTCTCCACTTCACTTGAATGCACCTTGATTCTTCAATAAACCAAAATTATGAGTTAAGAAGTATTACAACAACCAAAAATTTCAAAACATCACCACAAACTGATTTCCAGAAGGTACAGAATAATTCAAAGTTGTTTCCTTTGGTTATACAGGAATATATTTTATTTAAATAATTATAAAGAGGAGAAGATGCCAGATCAAGTCAAAAGGAAATAATCTGGTACTTTTGTGTTATGTCGTTTTTGAAAATACCCAAAAAGGCACCCTACTAATTGACCACAACAAATGAAATAAAACTCAATTCACCAATAAGATACTAGTACCAATAAAAATTAACATTGCGTGTGTTCTTCCGATTAAACCCTGAAATCAATTTGAGTAAAAGCCTGAGCACCAAATAAATAAAAAAACCAATCGATTGATCTAGAAAAACTTATTTTTTTAAACTCTTAAAAAATATTTTTGAAAAGGTTAGGGAGAAATGATTGAATAAATAAAAGGTATACATAAACAAATAAACTCAAATTTCCTTCAAACATTCAGCAATATCAACATTATATTGAATTCATACTGGTAAGCATAATCATTTTACTGGTATGAGAGAATAACAACCTCCCCGAGGAGGAAAAAAAGAGAAAATAATATTTAACAATTTACACTTTGCAAGAGCATTCTACACAGAATAATTATTTATGAACTTAGTTACAAAAACAAATGTTACAAATTTCTTATTGCACATTATCACTTTAGAGTTTTGAGATGAGAAAATAAACCGGAATGATACTAATTGCTAATTGCACATTATAATTTTTTGAGTTGTGAGATGAGAAAATAAACCGGGTAAAATATTTAAATATAAATCAGGCTTTACAACTTAACAGACAACTTATTCCAACCGCGTAGTTGAAACCCAATTAATTTCACCTGATAAAAATCTTACGATCAAAATATTTCGCTTTAATTAAATTATTAATAATAATTAATTTTTCCTAGCATTCTAATTAAGTTAACTTTAAACAAAAAAAATACAAATCACTTAGCTGAACTTCAAGGAGCTGGTTGGCGAGTGAGAGGGGTGGGGAACTCCAACCCATTTTCTTGAAACCATGACACACACCGGAGACGTTAGGAAAAGTTCCTGTAGTTGTGGACACGGAATTTGTAACTTTAAAATTTTTCTTGAAAAAAAAACCAAATGCACAGAATCGATGCAGAAGTGTAGATCATCCATTTTTAGTAGTGCTATATTCTATGCTGACGGAGGAGCTATTATCGATGCTGAAGTAGAAGATCATGCCCATTTTATAGAGCTATTACCTATGCTGGTGGAAGAGCTATTTAAAGATGCCGAAAATTTCCTCGGGCCGAGGGCCACGAGAAACGGCTACTTGAGCCAATACATTTAAGTAAAACTCGAGAAGGCAAGGCCTAACAAGGGCCCTATCACCTTTTATTCTTGAACATGATTCCAAACAAAATTCAGCTGTAGGCAGCACATCACGGCAAAGTGAAAAACAGTCAAAAAGTCACCTCCTTCCCCAAAACAACCCGTAAAAGGGAGCAGCCGGACTCCAACTGGCACAACTCCTCCTCTCCAAAAGTAAACCAGTTGCAACTACAAGCATTCCTTCATGTTAGCAAACTCGCCAAAAGCCCCCCCACTTTGAAACCCCAAAGGAAATTCTAAGTGCCAGCCGCCGCCAAAATAACCACGCCTAGTGAAAGGGAGACTTGGAATTTCAACAACCGGCAGCCATCCCCAACAAAGAATGCTGAAAACTCGAAAAAAACAACAATTCTACTGGAAAGGGCATTTCTTCCCCACAAGAGAAAACCCATGAAACGGGAAAAAAACTATTATTAAAGCATAACTAAAATGCAATTAAGTTAGAAAAACGAAAGTTATGTAATAAAGAGCTAATTTTCTGAAATAATGATATTAAATACTAAGAAATCAAATAATTTTTTTTAACCTGAAAACTGAGTTTATTACATTTTTTCCATTGTCTGAGTGAACAAGATCGAGCCGCAGTTCGCGAAAACTAGAAAAGCTAGAGATTTAATAAGCCAATAAAAGAATTAACCCACTTGAGGTAGCTCAAATTGTGAATAAGTACAAATTAAATTTTCATTTTATGAATCACTTAATATATTAAATCGCTACACAACATTGTGTTGGCCGACGCAGGCGATAAAGTCGCCAATAATGGTACAATCGAGGCCAAACGAAATATCCTCTGGTGGGTTACTCCTATTTTTACTCCTCATTTCGCGCAGCATTTCTTATCAGATTGAGTTTTCAATATGGGCATACAATTACATAAATTTTTACCAGATAGCTCAATTTTATGCCCTAAGGCCATTCGTGGGCAGTAATTAAGTCAATTAGTATGCAATCACAAGGCTCACCTGATGGCGAAAATATAGAAAAGGCAAAGCCAAGGGTTAAATTCATCAATTCTAATGAGAATGCACAAGCGAAGTAAAGCGCTGTGGTTTTACATAATTTCGAAGTAAGCTATTCGTACAAATTGAAATAATTCTTGCATTTAAACTTGTATTCCAAATTAAATTTACAAGATGTAGATATTACTGAGAGAATTAGATTTTTGTAGCGTTTGTTTTACATGAGATGAGATCATTTGGGGATCACGTGATATGAACCGGCGAATCAGGATGTTGTACCATGAAAGCATAGTAAATTCTTAAATTGTCTTTTTAAAAATTTATTGTCTTTATTTATTGACTTTTTTACAAAATTTTCAACAACATTAAAATGTTTATACCTTCAAAATAAAAGAACTAACATTTCTCAATATTTTTTATGTGTATACTCTGTGTTGTCACAAATAAAGTCTGCTTGGCGAGATTTGCGCCGCCAAAACGGAAAAGTACCAATAATTTTTAAGCTCTAACAAGTTAACAAATAGAGTTTTATTGAATAAAAGTTAAAAAACTTCAAATTACAGTTTAATAAAGCCTCAAAAACTTCTTTAAAATTAAAACTTTTAAAACAATGAAAAAAATATGATATAAATATTTCAAATATCTTCCTTCTTAAATAAAAATAACAACTAGTGTTGCTAACTTATGAAACGCAATCTTTAATGATGAATCTAATTAAAACTCAGTTAAAAAAGAATTTCAATTTTAAGAGCTCTCAGCAATCGTTTCTTCTTCTCTTTATTGAATTTAAAATGGTATCAATAAAAAAAAACATTTAAATAAAGTATATCAAAGTTAAAGACAATTTTATAAAAAAAAAAAATATATATAAAATTTAACTGCAGAATTTTATCCTAACCATTAGATTTTATCCTGGATGTAGATGATATGCAAAAGAATCAGAGTAAAAAATTTTACAATCAACTTACTACAGGGGATTAGAAACCTATTTTATTCATGCCAGTGAATGACAATTATGGTAAAATATTTTTAAGAAGTCCAGATAAAATAATTCAAGTTAGAATGCAGGTTGTCTGATCTACAATCAGTTGCCAAATGTAACTCCAGCTTCAAAACATACCAGAAGAAAAAATTGATGTCCATTGTGACTATGACTGTGACACATGTAAGCACATGAAAAAAAATTGGATATTAGGTATAATGCATATATAAAATATGATTTAAACTAGATTCAAAATGGAGTGGGGTAAATTAGTACTTTTTGGACTCATGTTAAACTCAAATTTGAGGGAAGCTATAACCTTGAGGTGACTATTCTAAAAGGACAAATTTCTACAACTACTTAGTTTATACATTGCTTCTACAGACTTCTATTCATTAGGGTAACATCTAAATCATTAAGAAAAAGTCAACAATACAGCAATATATTTCACACAAAAAGGAACTGTATAATGAAAATCATAACCAATCCTATGAAGCCATTCAGTGGTTTAACAGAATAAAACTCAATGAAACAACTTTTCTAAAATGCACAGTTTACATCTGGGATAGTTCACATCTCTACCATGCATACAAAACTGGAATGCCAATAAAA